TCCATCGTAGGGGCATGACAACCTCAATTGCCCAATCGATCTCCATTACCATGACCTAACTTAATTGCCTCTGCAAAACACACGTTAGTCATAGTAATCTTGTATTGACATTAATCACCGAAATCCACTTAGGGGCCTAGATGCTTTCATAGAGCCTAAATACAATATAGAGCATCTTATAGTTACCATGTGAATAACAAAAGAAAGAACATCATGGAACATCTCATGGGTAGTACGGAGCAACACAAAAGGATATCATGAAACATCTCACGGTGAATACATCATCTATGGAATATGAATACTTTGGGAATCGATCAAAATACATTATGAAATAGGTCAATAGTGCTACCAAAACAATTCATAATACTAAATGGAACATCTCATTAGTACTATAACGATAATTCTATAATATACCTCATGAATAACTATGGAGCAACCGTATTATATTATAAAAGAAAAAGTTGGAGTTAATATCACCACAAGATCATGGATACAAGAAAAAATACTAAAATGTATAGCAAAAATAAAATATAAATAAATAATAACATGTAAACAAGAAATACAATTAATAAAAAAAATAAAATATAAAGGATGCACCCTGGGGCATTTATTTATGAGAACAACCAAAACACACAATGAAACATCTAATAAATACTATGACAACAAATAAAAAGTAGACCATGTAACATCGCATGACTATAATAAAAGTGATGATATGCACACCATGGAACATCTCATGAATAGTATATCATCCAAAAAAAACACCATCAAACATCTTAAATACTAGAGGAACAAATTCTGAGTACTATAGGAACATTAGAAATATACCATAAAATATCTCATAAATACTAAAGGAATAATAAAAATAATAAATTGTAGAACATCCCGAATTACTACGTGAACATTTGAAAATATACCATGGAGCATCTTAATATCGTCCGAAAAAAAAAAAAAAACACCGTGGAATCCTACGGAACAATAACTTTTTCACGAGGAAAAAAAGCTCTTTGTTAAAATAACAAATGACCTTTCTTCAAAATGAAAATAGTTTGCAATTATTCCCACGGTATATTTCAGTTGTTCATATAGTATATATGAGATGTTCTATGCTATATGTTAGAATGTTCGGGGATATATTTCAATAGTTCTCACAATATCCCTTAGATGTTGTCTTGTTTTACTACTTGATACGAATATTATGGAATATCATCCATTAGAACCTGAAATTTGATTATTCCTAAATCTAGAATATTATTCTTCTGAACATATAAATCTTTTCTTGTGAAGGCAGAATCCTTTTTTTCCAAAACCTAAAATATTGTCCTCCTTAATAAAAAAATGTTTTATCTTCGTAAGACAAATGTTCTTATACGAAATGTGATCAAAATATGTCCAATTAGGTTTGTTTTGAAGGATTTATTGTAAAAATAATAGCACAACAAAAATTTAATTTGGATTATGCTTGGTTTCAAACTACATTTTTTTTAAAATTTTATGCAAATGGTGATATAAAGAAATTTTTGTTAAGCTAGATCTAAAAGAACAATAATGACCCAAAAAGAGTGGTGGTCGGCGCCTTACTCGATGCCGATTGGTTGGCAATGAAGACTGGCATCTGGTGTGCTCTGACGTGTAAAAGCAACTTCAAGAGACCCTCTATATCTTTTTTTAACTGCTAGGAATAGAGATTTTAATGAAAAAAATACCCTCCAACAACTTGTTTAATTGGTTATCCAAATATAATTATCTTCTATTCCGGATTTTTCGCTAGCTAAAGATAGAAAATGAGAATGACTTTCTAGAATGCAAACAAGATATAGAAAAACTATTGGAGAATGAAAAGATATAGACAACGACTTTTATGTAAATGTCTTTCCAAATGATGATTTGAAGAGTAAATTTTAGAAAGACTCTTGAGATGCTCTAAACTTCAAAAATCTTCTCCTTTTATTTTCTTTTTGTGAAAGAAGCTCTAAAAATCTTCCGTGCTACGTATGCAGTAGTAGACGTGCACTGCAAAAGATGTGATCAGTAGTGCGTGTTCTCGTGTAAACATAAGAGACATCTTTTGTGCTTCATCTTAGCCTCCCTGGCTGATTGGCTGCATGAGAAAAATATCTTGTCAAATGATCGGTACTCTATGTCGGCACTGATCGTGCTGTATGCTTAAAGGGAAGCACGCCTAACGCTAGTCAACGCCTCGATTTGACGTCGTGAACGTGTTGACTAACTGGCCAAACAAATCCACTCACTCGCATTTCCAGGGAATCAGACCTTGACTTAAAAAGAACTGGACAGGTCAAGTCTCTTCCTGAGAGTGGTAGTCACGATCGCGGATCTTTAAGGACGATTGCTCCTGAAAGGACAAGAGGTCCTGATTGCATCACTTGGCATAATTTGACACTTCTTGACTTTTGTGAAGGACCATCTCCTTTCTCACATACACATTTTCCCTGCAGGGGTTGGGCGGCTAATATGTACATGCAGTTGCAGACTTTTCAGTTCAAGCTCGGTGCAGTTACGCTCTAGAATGGATACGTTTCAAATGTTTCACTTCTTTCCTCTCTAGCTCAGATCAATGGCTTCGTACGTCAACGTTCCTTATCATGGGAGACCACTATCATCAGCAATGTATATTGTAGGTTTACATCAGGGAGAACAAGGCTGATTTTTGCACAATGACCTTTAGTCAGACTAGGAAAATGCAGTTTGCAGGAGTGCGATGCCCACAAGAGTACAAGGTTTGTTGGAAAGACTTACACGGGGGGCAGGAACAGAGATTCTGAAAGTGGTGTCATCCATAAACAAAACGCAGAAACGCAACCACTGGACTAGTACTACTCTTACTTAAGAACATGCAAAGCTTTACGTTGGCTAAACGCACCGATCGAGCTGACCAGGCTTTAATTCCTATAATCCTATTCCCTCAGCAGTTGCGTCCTGCTAGTCGTAACTAACCTTGTCTGCTTGTAGCCGCCATGAAGTAGTTAATTTGGTTGATTAGCCACGGACGTCGTCGGCGGGCTCCTCTTGTCTTCTTCTCCGGCCGGCGTCCGTCAGTCTTCAGTCGTCAGTCCCCGGCCCATCCACAGCACCGGCCGCCGCGTCGTGACGTCCGCCAAGTCGCCAACCAAGGCGATGTGCCTGTCGAGGAGTTTCGTTCCCTACCACTACCTCCACATGTGTCAGTCACTGACTTGCGTGGGCAAATAATCTGGCGTATATTCTTGCACGCGGTTCTCGTTGACGATTGCTACCACTACATACAGGAGTCTAGGACGCTGTGAGTTGACGAGCTCCCTAGCTGCTGGATTGCTGGTGCAGCAGAGCTGAGGTCGCCGGCGGACGGGCGGTGCCGGTGCAGGCGCCCGCGACCGTCGCTTTCGGGGCTTTTGACTGCAACCAGACAACCAGGAAATTGGTCGGCCCCGCCCCCGCCAGCTAGGTGATGGCTCATGGCTGCATCGCGAAAACTTGACTTTTTTTAGGCCTAAAATAACGAAAGACAAGAGTTCGTCTGCTCACATCTAGAGAGAGATCTTTTTGATAAAAAAAAAGAAACAAGAAAGAAACGTCTGATATTATTGACCAAGCTAAATCAGCTCACGGCCATAGCTAATCACCGTTGCTTTACGCTTAGTACAAAACAGCGAGCCCTAACTTTCCTTGGTCGCGATCGCGAACAACACGGTACAACGAATCATCAATAAGGTAAATCACACACGCTACAAGCCAGCATCAATTTGGTTCACAAGAAAAGAAAAGCAATAATTACCCACCATGTCACCAATTACAGGCCTAAATACTGTTTTGTTCTAATTTTTTCCTTGATCTGTTCCTGGATGCGGTGAGCTCGACTAGCTCTTCGTTCCATCAGCCATAGTTGATGCCGTTGCCAAGTTGTCTTTCGGCGACGATGCATGGCTGGTTTTAATAGTGCTTGTCTGCCCATGGTGACTGCATATATAGGCCGCCGCTTTGGGCCTAGCTGCCGTGCACACCGTTGCCCCTTACCTACACCAGCATACCAATGCCACCCATGCCGTGCAACTCAACTGTCTTTCTTTCTCTTCCCCGCGTCGCTCACCCACCTGCGACCGCCACATCGTAGGCCTGCTTGTATGCCTGTGACCGCCACTACCTCCTCGCTCACCTGCGCTAGCGCCACACCATGTCAGCTTGTATGGCCCTAGGCTTGTGCCATTGGATTCACACGTCTCAATGCGAATCCAACATAGAGATATGCATATGGGCAGATTTAACTTACTCGCCTAGCTAGCTAGGTGGCCATCAGAGATGAGCACAGAGGGCCATTCCAACCAAAACGGCCTCCAATTCTGAATCTGGAATTAAGTTGCAAAACAAACAATCAGCTTCATGGTGGGAGACTAACATTAAAATAGAGTTACTCCTTGGTGGATTGGTGCTTTAGAGTTTTTTTTTCAGAGGTGAAGCTCTCCTAAACATCTATCACATGTAATTATGTCAAGAATCCTAGATCCAGCTGATCTCTGTCCATGCTCCGGCCATCGCGGCCGGTGGAAGCATTCTCTTCCTCGACGCGTCGGCACTGCCATCTGCCATTGTCCGCCTTTCCAAAGTGTCAACTTAGGGTCACTGGACGCACTGTTCATGAACACGGTGCTTGCGTTTGACTACACCAGAGCCGCGTGACTATGTACACGCACTACGCACAGGACTAGGCAAGATACCATCACAATCCAATCCGATCAACAAGTAAGGGCCTTATGACCAAAACTTGTGTCCAATGGTCAGAAGTCTCAGAATTCACAAGTCAGAGACTCCTGTGCCCTCCACAAACTGATCCCATAATCAACCGTCAATTTCACGTTAATTTTCACTCCAAACCCTGAAAATATATACCAGCCAAATCCTTCCCTAAACTACTTTGGGATAATACTGCTATATACATCGTCGTCTTCGTGATTTTCGGTGTAGTACGCTGGACGCCTTCGTTCCTCTAGCTAGCAAACCGACCCATGGCAGACGAGTGGTGGAGCTCGACGCGTACTGCCGACGACGACGGCTGGTCGCCCTGCTCCACAGCTCCGGCCACGGACCAGCTGGACGCTGCCGCCCCGCCATCCTTCCTCGCTGATCCACCCCATCATATGGACTGGACGCAAGCCTACATGTAAGCCGAGAATTCTCATTTTTCTCAACTTGGCACGCACTCTCTCCACACGGTTACATGCGTGATGCATGGCGATTTGCGCGACGGACAGGGGCGGGAGAGCGCCGGCGGCGGCAGAGGCGACCACCAGCTTCAACGCGCTGCTCCAGCTCCACGGCGACACTGGTCGCCACTTCCTGCCTGGTCAGCATCTCCACGCTGACGGCGCGGCGCCCGTGGCAGCAGCGTCGCAGAGCGCGTCGTCCCTGTACGCCGCCGGAAACCAGCTGTACTCCAGCTACGGTGGCGACGTGCCTGCGGCGGCAGCGCTGATGTCGAAGCCGCCGTTCCCGCAGCAGGAATTCTTTGGCTCGTCGACGCGGAATCTCGGCGACATGCCGGCAGCAGGGCCCATGACGACCAAGCCGCTTCTCTTGCAGGCCTTAGAGCAAAAGACTTTCAAGGTATGATACGGCCGGGTTCGCAGCGGCCGCGCGCCGCCGCTCGCTTCCGTTTGCACTCCCCTACTACTTGCCTAGCAGCTAGGGTTTCTTCTCACGCCTCGATGGGTCTCTGCCCTCTGGTGCAGTCCCATAAGCAACCTGAACAAGACGCTTGCTCCTCGGCGACGAGAAGTGTTCCCGGCTCGCCTGCGCCAGCGAAGAAGCCCCGGGTCGCGACGCCGTCTCTCTTTGCCGACCTTCAAGGTGTGCACCGACCGAGCAGCTGTGACGCATGCAACCCGAAGATATTATATCATCTCGCACCTTCAATTATTCTGACACATCTTTTGATTTCCAGCTCAACATGCAATTCAGGCTAGATGTTCTTGTTAGCTATATATGATGATCTTTCAGCTGAACTATGATTGCCTTTGATTCTTGTCCGAGCGCAGGTGAGGAAAGAGAAGCTCGGGGACAGAATCACTGCTCTCCAGCAACTAGTTTCGCCTTTTGGAAAGGTACCCTTTCTAATTTCCCCCTTTAATTCCCCCCTTTAAGTTCTCCCTTGTTCGGCTTCCTTTAAATTCTGTATTTTAGCAAAAAATCTAGCTCCAAGTTGATCAATGAACCTTGACATCATTTTCGATGCGACGCATCGCATCGCATCACATCTGTGAATTTCAGACGGATACTGCATCGGTTCTTCACGAGGCAATCGAATACATCAGGTTCCTGCATGATCAAGTAGCTGTAAGTAACTAAGTCTACGAATTCTATACTTTACCATGATCAAATAGCTGGAAAAGCTTGTGGTCAAAATGATTGACAAGCTGCAATATAATTTATGTGATTCGAGCTAATGAACCTGACCTCTGCACAGTCCCTGAGCTCTCCCTACCTGAGGTGTGGACGGCCTGTGCAGCAGCTACAACAACAACAGGTATCTAGTGTACAATTGCAAAGTTCCTAGCCGTCAATTTGATCTACAATAGTTATTTTTATTTCATTTGAACCTTGAAAAGTAAAAGTTACGTTTTCCTCCCGATGATAGATGAATTAACAAAGTTTCCTGTCAGGCGAAGGACGGCGACGAGGCGAAGGAGGACCTGCGAAGTCGAGGGCTGTGCCTTGTTCCGGTGGCGAGCACTACTTATGCAGTGGCTGCTAGCGAAACGGCGCCGGAGTTCTGGCCCTCTACCTTTGGGGGCACATTACGGTAGAGACAGAGACAGGTGCAGCTATGTAGGTATATTATTTGTGTGTAAGGTGGTATTCTCATGTCAGTAAAAATCAGTGCTGAAGCAAAAGCAAATGGAAAAACCTGACCAGTCGATCACATTAGTGTGAGGGTGTTAATTTAGTTGTTGGATTGGATTGGAGAAAGGCAATGGCAAAAAAAAGGGAAGAAACAAAGATGGGAAAAATGTAAGATCACATGCACTTGCATTGTGCACACACGACCTGGAAAGTATTCAGAGGGGTAAAGGGTTAAGAACTTATGATGGATGTATTTGTTGGGGGCAGGTTCAACAGAGAATGGTACTGATATTACAGAGTAAGCAACTTTCCAGAGAATAACTCTATTGGTACTTTGGTAGTATTTTGTATGGACAGGTTGGGGATGGAGGGGATATATGGTGGAAAGTTGCAAAAGGAGCGCTAGCTTTGTAAGATAGCGAACCTATTAGTCTTGTTTTTAAGAAAAGGTTAATACAGATTATTAGACTAGCACATCGTATTGGTTATTGAAAAGTGTTCCTAGTACTTAGATATTAATTTAAAAACTCAAAAAGTCCTTCACTAACCTTGCACTCAACATTATTGTCTCCTATTTCAAACATTGATGCAACCTTTTTCCATGATGTTTTTTTTTAATTTAGCGTGTTTTATAAGAATTTATTGTCTCCTATTCCAAGGTTCTTTTTTATCCGCCATAGATTGTGAAAGATAACATAGGCATACATGATAAAATGGTCTGATTTAGGCTACCAGATGCTTAGAGGTTAATAGATTGAACCAAACTCATTTTTAGATTATGCAATTTCTAACTTAGATTGATCTAATCCAGTATCTTATGGCATAAACATGTATGAACACTATCTATTTTAGACTCATCTAAGCATGAACATGCTAAAAGGATCCGTCTTAGAATTAATTGACAACTTAAGACTAATAGATCATTCTAAACAGATCTACAAGAGGCAATGAGCCCACCATATAAATTTCACCACAATTAGACCATAGAACTGCAGCTATGAATTAATTACAGAAAAGTATAGATCTAAAACTACAGAAAAAAATTATACTAAAGCATACAATATTAGATGTTCATTGTATAGATCTATTCACGTGGAGTTCAACAAAATTAGATTTTCCATTTTTTGATTTTTCTGTGATTTACTATGATTTTTCAAAGATTCAACCAAAATAAATAAAAAAGAAAAAGACAAAACCACTTTTGAAAACCACTTATAACTGGTCAGGGAGGTAAAACGAACTATTTTAAAAGTTCAAGGAGATGGTTTATCCGGTTTTAGAGTTTCAAAGGAAAAACAGACTTTCGTAAAAGTTGAGGATGTAACGTGAACTTTTTCCTTTCTCAAAAGTTGCTGATGGCCCCTTTGCACGTGAGCATGCAATCCTTCCGGTGTCCTTTTCGCGGCACGGCCCAAGTAAGCAGGCCGACACGCCATACAATTAACAGTTGGACCAAGCCAGCGGTGGTCTTCCAAAAGGCCATGGTAAGTGGGCCTAAATGATGAAGACATTTTTTTTCCGTTCAGTAGCAAGCGAGACTGCGAGAGGAATACAGGGGCACCGGACACATGACAAGTGACCAAATATATGGGGCAAATGCACAATCCGAGTACCAAATTTCACAAAAGCAATACAACCGAAACCACCGCGACAACGTCGAACGTATGATATCACTCGTCGTCGTGTATGTGTAATTATGTATGCGTAGGTGTATAATAGGTATGCGTGCGAGTATGGCAAGGCCATGGCGATCCATCGTCCGGGATAGTGCGAGCGATCAGGCGGAGCCGCCCTTGAGCTTCTTGGCGATGCCGGCGAAGTACTTGCCCTGGTGGAAGGCGTGCTCCAGCTCCACTTCCGTCGGCCACCGCGACCCGTCCCCGGCGAACGTGCCCGCGCCGTACGGGCTGCCGCCGTGCACGCTCTCCATGTCGAATATTTTGGCGCCGAACGTGTACCCCACCGGCACGAACACCATCCCGTGGTGCGTCAGCTGCGTCACCGCCGTCAGCCTGCAGACAAAGGGAAAACGTTACCCACTGCTGCTGCATCGATCAGTTGGTGCAAGCAATGCGAGGTGTGTCATGTGTGAGAAGCAGAGAGGTCAGGTGAGGTCAACGACGACGACGACTCACGGCGTGGTCTCCTGGCCGCCGCCCTGGGTGCCGGTGCTGAAGAAGAGGCCGGCGGGCTTGCCAGCAAGGCTCTGCTCCCGCCACAGCCCGCCGGTGGCGTCAAAGAAGGCCTTCATCTGTGACGCCATCATGCCGAACCGCGTGGGAAACCCGAAGAGGATGCCGTCGGCCTCCGCGAGCTCCTGCGGCGTGATGATCGGCGCGTCCGTCTTGGGTGGCGCACCCATCTTGCCGAGCACCTCCTCGGACAGAATTTCTGGGACCTTTGCATGTGAAATGAATGGAATTTGGTGGCGTTAAGTGATCATTTCAGACTCGTATAACACATTGGTTCTAGTTCCTGCCAAGCATCGATCAAATCCGAAGATTGCATCCTTGCTGACACCGACCTGCCATATTTTGACCTCCACGCCTTCAACTGACGCGGCACCTTTCTTGATCTCCTCAGCTAGCTTGGCAACATGCCCGTAGGTGGAGTAAAACCTATTGAGAAAATGGGAGTGTTTTAGTGATGCCCAAGTACTAAAACGATCTAGTACAGGTCAGTATCCGACTTTCAGTAAATACACAATTCGCATTCAACAGGAAACATTATGAATGAATAGACTAAAGTAGGGCACCAATGGAGGCTAAATATTGACAACAGATTATAAGTGTCAATTAGGTATTTCGGTGTAAAGATGTATTGGAATGAAACAAGTGTTCCCCATCTTTTAATCAAAGGTTTCTAGATGCTCTTACTTTTTGGGTAGTTGGACAATCTCATTCAGGCAGCAAAACTAAGGCATGGGTGGATTATTATTACTTACACCAAACGATATTAGAGTGGTTGTTTATCCTTTTAGCATGTCACATAGATGTGACTTCAACTAAAGAGATGTGATGTGGATTGAAAGCTACACCGTGGCTTGCCAATAACAATATGATGGTTGCACCAAGTACAGTATTAAACAATGAAACAGTCAACTATATGCCCAAGGATACCGCTAATTTTTTTGCTGCTCAGAAGTGACATCCTCTGAGTTGTTACTCAAAATTGAAATTATGTATGTTCCATGGTGAATTGTACTTAAGAAGCCAAATGGACTGCAAGCCATGTTATCTGGAAATTAGATTTTACGAAACAAATACGCAAGAGATGCAGAATTGTGCATCAAGAAAGGGTCCATGTGTTGAAGTGAAAGTGGGAAGCAACAAGAGGTAGCAAACATGCATGCCCATCAGCAGACAGAGTGGGATTGTACTGTTGTAGTGGAAAACTCACATCAACAGAAAAGGGCATCCGTGGATTTCATAATTGCCCACAAGAGAAAAGTAATGTATCATTGAGGTGACGCATTCTAGAAGTTTGCATGTACAGCCGGAGACTAAATCACAAAAAATTTAAAAGGAAAAGGGTACATATAATGACTGATGCATTTTGATCTTTTCACATGATGTCGTTTTTTCACTGTGTAAACAGAAAGTAGATTCATAGGAGTAAGTTTCACATTTATGTTAGGATTTCCATCTCAAACAACCGATAGAAACTAAATATGATAAAGACGCATAAGTTGAAAAGAAAGTGAAATGCATTATAATTGTAACTCGTTGAGCTCATATACAAATTTCAACTTCAACGTGATAGATTAACCTTGAGTTCAGTTATTTGAACAGTGGTTCACTTTGCCTAATACACATGTAGATTCCATATTTAAAATTTTTGAGTTCTCCTTTTATATAAAAAAGGGTGTTCAGTTGTACTACTAAAAGCAGGAGAGAAACAAAAATCGCATTGCTAAATAAAATGTCATTTTGCTCTCAGCAGCAGGTGGGAACAGGGAGTTGGTGAAGATGTCGTACATGACTAAATGAAATGTTTCTCAAAGCAGCTGTCCTTGATAGCAGTAACCTAATCAATCGGCGTGAGTCCCACTAATTAGGCTATTATTACTGATTATATGAGAGTCCCACCTATTAGGCTATTATTACTGATTATATGAGAGTCCCACCTATTAGGCTATTACTGATTATATATTTATATGAGCGACCAGTATCTTCCTCTCTTTAAAGGGGTAGTGCAACATGACTACATATCATTGCAAGAACACTCGCGACGACAACGCCAATATCACCAGGCCGCAAATTAAATCTACCAGCGTTTCCACGGCACAAGGAAAAGATTTCAAGTAAAGCTAAGAGCCCATGACTAGTGCTGGTGCAGTGCAGGATACGTTCGTTTCCACCGTTTGGCCCCCAATCAAGGCATAACAGAGGGGCCAGAGCCTACCCCCGTGAACGTGATCGAGACATTGACAGCCGAAAACCGAACCCAAATTAGTCAGTATCCTAAATCCTCCCCAACAGCCTAGGTTCATTGATCCTGGACACAGTCGCGATGATGGAGACTGAAACCTTGAAGTATCACTGGACGTAGCAGAGCAAAAATAGGAGCATGGTGGCATGCAATTTGTGAATACGGGAGTACTCCGATCGATTCGAAACAACTAAGTCCATCGCTCATGCGGTTTGATCGATCTGAACTTACGAAGGCATCTCCGGCGGCTTTGTTTAAGATTCGTAACGGAAAAAAAACATACAAGTACGTAGCTAGGGCATGCAATGGGGGCGATTCAGTAAGCGGGAGGGCGGGGCGGATACTTACACGACGTAGACCTTGACCGCCATTGGAGAAGGGTCGGAGCAACTCGGATCTGAGATCTGGGGCCTGGAGAGGCAGGGGAAGGAGGCCGCAGGCCGCTGGGGTTCTCTCTTCTCTTTGTTTAATGTGTTCGATGAATGCAGTGTGTGCAGGTGGTGCGGGGGAAGTGGGGAGAGAGTATTTATAGGACCACACCACCAGGGCTAGCGTCCGGTTTGACCCGCAGGCGAGGTGGTGGCGTGGTGCCAAGTGTGATCCAGCGTGGCGGGCGCCACGTCAGCTTAATAGTACGTCACGGTTGCATCATCATAACGCCCATGTCAATCAAGATAAATAAAGGAAGCAGAAATTCAGGACCAAAGAATCAAGCTGTGTTTAGTTGGAGGGAAAGTTGGAATTTCGGGTTTATCGATCGGTTCGGTTTGGTAATACTTTCGTTTCGGCTTCATTTCATTTTTTTATTTGTGAGAACCGAACAACCGTGTTCAATCATGGAATAATTAGGCAACGAAAACGACTCAACAAACCTACAGCCCCATACCCCAATCCCGCCCGCGCAGCGATTTCCAACCAAACAAAGCGTATGCAATTAATTTTTTTCGTCTACATTTTCGGCATGAGCCACGCACGCGAGGAGGCGCGCCCTTCGATTCGATGCGAGGAAGAGAATCAGCCTGGCGGCGTTTAGCATTTTTTGGAAGTATTTTTGGAACTGAACACGCGCTCAAGCTTGTACCTCTGTACGTGAATAAACAGCTTCAGCGGCAGTGAATATTGCCGCGTGCATTAGCTGAGCTTCGACAAGACCAACCGCGTCCAATATGGCTGGGTAATTCTAGAGCACAGAGAGCTTCCTTTGGATCACAGCAAATTCCGTATTCAGTTTCTGCAGGCTCTGTGGTAAAAATAACTCCTGCGCTGTGAAGAAGGCCGGGTTTAATCGTCCTGCTCGCTTGGCTTATAAACCATACTTTTTTAGCCAACGAATAGTATTTTTCTCTTACAACAAATCAGCCAACCGTTCTTTTAGCCATGGTTTATCGGCGAAACGAACAGGACAAATATATCGCCATATCGGAATCACGTCAGGATGCCTCCATGACAGTAGTATCTCACAGTCACCACCAACAACCATGACGGTGACAGGCAAAGGCTCTGGAAGCGGCATGTTAAGGCAGGTGGCAGGCAAAGGATGCAGGGACTTCAATTCAGTTCTTCAGCATGGTTTAATCCAAGCGTGCAAAGGACTGCAGGGTGGAGGACCTGAAATTCTCAACCATGCAATTGGTTACTCACCGTCTCACATTTTTCTAGATGAATATTGGTTATTGTTACGAACGCCAAACTCGTCGCCTCCTGTAGTTGTCAAGCCAGACCATCAGCAGCAGGTTTTAAGGCTCTCGCTGTTTTCCTTTTTCCCCTTTCCTGGAAAGGAATATCAGGAGGACCGAGGCCGTCGTCCCTGCATTGTTCGCGTTGCATCATCATGGGCCGGCGTGCAGGGCGAGCATTCATTTCATCCATGCTTCTGATCTCTCATCTCTCACGTATCTTTGTTGTAAAGCAGGAGCCTCAATGATGGCCGCCGGAGGCAAAGAAGAACCCGTGCCGCCGACGGATTGGCGCGACGCCTGCTGCTGCACCTGCTGGACTGGTTGCCCCGGTCCTGGATCGGGGCCACGCAAGGTGAGTTGACGCGTGCATGGATGTGGCCTTCGTCTTCGCCTGTGGGCTTGTGGCTTCACCCTCAAGCCTGTCTCTGCATCCATCATTCGCGATGGTTTCTGCTCCTCTTTCGGCCGCCGGCCTAGAGATCCTCACGCTCCCAGCCATCGTCTGCTTCTGCTTAGAGGGAGGGCAAGCACGCATGGTGGATCTCTAGCTCGTGGTCGCCGACACAGAGGAGGAAATGATGTGATCTGTTGAGAGTTGAGACACGCGTAAGTTTTTTTTTTTATCACACCGCCCAGTGCTCCAGTTTGAGTACGTGCAACTCTAGCGCAACGCAACCCAGCTAAGACTTCCTACTCCTACTCCGTAGTTCAGAAGCAGTGGGCCCTTTTTCTCGAGGAGAATGGCCCAATTCTTGGAAGAGTCAACAACGTTCGTGATATGGATTGAAAGTTATATGGCCCAGCCATGGCCCATGATCTAAGAGGCCTAATGCTTCCAAAACTCGACCAGCCCAACACAGACCAGCTTACACCATCTAGGCCCGACGAATTTGTTCATATGGGCCTGACGGGAAGCCTCGCAGGGCCCAGATCTACCACTTCGCAAGAAACAAAACCGCAGTGTCCGTCCCATTGGCAACGACGGACTGACCTGACCAACAGTCATACGGATGCTGCCGTCTTGTCCACCGCCTGCGAGCTTGTTGCTCCGCTAGACGCTAGTTGCCTAGTTCACTCGCCGCGATGTCGCCCAACCACCAGCTCCGCCTCGCCGCGGCTCTTCCTCTGCTGCTGCTTCTCCCCGCGGCTTCCACCGCCAGGGACACCATCGCGCCGGGCCAGCCGCTCCGGGGAAACGACACGCTCGTCTCGTCGGGCGCCGGCAGCTTCGTGCTGGGCTTCTTCTCCCCGCCGGGCTCCAACAATACCTACGTCGGGATCTGGTACGCCAAGGTGCCCATCCGCACCGTCGTCTGGGTGGCCAACCGCGCCGCCCCCGTCCGTGGCCCCGCGGGGGACAACGCCGGCGCCACGCTCTCCGTGTCCAGCGAAGAATGCGCGCTCGCCGTCGCGGACGCCAACGCCACGGTGGTGTGGTCGTCGGCCTCGGCGTCCCCGCGGCCCGGATCCGCGGCGTCGGGCGGCGGCGGCGGGCCATGCACGGCGCGGATCCGCGACGACGGCAACCTGGCGGTGTCGGACCAGCGCGGGCGCGTGGTGTGGCAGGGGTTCGACCACCCCACCGACACGCTGCTCCCGGGGATGCGGCTCGGGGTGGACTTCGCGGCCGGGACGAACATGACGCTGACGGCGTGGGCGAGCCCCTCCGACCCGTCGCCGAGCGCCGTGGTGGCGGCGATGGACACGTCGGGCGACCCGGAGGTGTTCATCTGGAACGGGCCCACCAAGGTGTGGCGGTCGGGGCCCTGGGACGGCGTGCAGTTCACGGGCGTCCCAGACACCGTCACCTACAAGGGCATGGGGTTCAGCTTCCGCTTCGTCAACGACGGGCGCGAGGCCACCTACAGCTTCCAGGTCCGGGACGCCGGCATCGTCTCCCGGCTGGCGCTCAACAGCACGGGCGGCGTCGTCGGCGGTGGTGGGCTGATGCAGCGGTGGACGTGGCTGGAGGCCGCCGGCGCGTGGGGACTCTACTGGTACGCGCCCAAGGACCAGTGCGACGCCGTGTCCCCGTGTGGCCCCAACGGGGTGTGCGACACCAACAAGGTGCCCGCCTGCTCCTGCCTCCCCGGGTTCACGCCGCGATCACCCGCGTCGTGGGCGATGCGGGACGGCCGGGACGGCTGCGTCCGCGCCACGCCGCTCGACTGCGGCTCCAACCGCACCAGCAGCACCGACGGGTTCGCGCCGCTGCCGCACGCCAAGGTGCCCGACACGACGCGGGCGGTGGTGGACTTCGGCTCCAGCCTGGACCAGTGCCGGCAGCGGTGCCTCAGGAACTGCTCCTGCACGGCGTACGCCAGCGCCAACCTCACCGGCGCGCCGGGCCACCGCGGCTGCGTGTTGTGGACCGGCGGCCTCGAGGACCTCCGCGTGTACCCTTCTTTCGGCCAGGAACTCTACTTCCGGCTCGCCGCCGCTGACCTCGGTACGTCGCACCTCACTTGTCGTCTACGCACGTACGCATGCACAGTCTTAGTATATCTATTTTCTTTCGAAAAAAAAGGAAAATAAATTATTATTTATGCGGTCCTGCCGTTGTTCCGTACAAAGATGCATGCTGGTTGGTGAGAACTTGTACACGACCTTCTTCCGTTCTGTCGTACAAGTACAATGGTGCACGCATTTTGGTTGGTGATGAGTGGAAAACGTGGCACCAGCCTTCCTTTCCTTGAGTTTACCACGTTTTACCCTTTTTACAGTACAGTAGATGTGCAGAAAAACAGTTTGTTCTGATCGCTTGACTTATAAACCATATTTTTTTTATTAATAAATAATATTTTCTTTCATAATAAATCGATCAACTGCACTTTTAGCTGTGACTTATTAGCAAACGAATGCTAGAGCACCTGAGAAAAGACTAGAGCATCTTTTAGTCAGTTCCTTGAATAATTTCATCAGTATCTGTAGTTCGACCCCATCAAATCAAACAGTAACGAAGGAACATCAACATATACTGTTGGAACGTCCCCTTCGATCAGTACTACGCCGGTCGTGTACATCCATGATCAATCCCCACCAACGAACGCCAAGATAGATAGACAGATGGCTAGTGGCTTTTTACCGTGACGAAATAGATTCCGTTCCAATCAATTCTGGCCCTCTTGAGAAGACTTCATCTTGGTGCCTGTCGTAATCACGCAGACACACACACACACACAGTTCATAATCCACACTGCTGAACGTGCCAACACAGTAGTGTTGCTGCTGCTAGTGCAAGATATTTCCGTGTTGCAGCAGCGCAAGCCACCAGCAGGCATGCCTACCATCGAACCCGCGTGAAACCTTATCGCGTGGTGCACGAGTACAAAGCTGGCAAGGGCGAACGATGGTGACCACTTGCTGGTAAGGTTTCTTAGGGACCATGATGACGAAGAATAACGAAACGTTGAGAACAACGGATTAATACCAACGTAGGAGTATTAGACCAATGAGTGAACAATGTCTAAATCAGCGCTTGTGTGGTCCTCAAATCTAGACTTGTAATCGTGGTTTTCGCATGAGGTTGTTGTGTTAACCTCCAAACATGAGGAATGACAGAAATGTTTTGGGTCTCTTTCTTGTTTCTTCTCATTACGAGTCAGTCAAACAAGGAAACACCCCAAAACACCCTTCCTGCCATGGGGATAGCGACTAACGTTTTTTTAAGCTATATATTGTGAATGATATTC